GTCCAAAATTTAATCATTTTACCTCAGGCGGAAATAAAAATTAAGTTTAAAATTTAATGTTTTTTCCTTTATCCGTTTTTGAGTTTTCTTCAAAATTCGTAATTTACACATTTTCTTAAATATCTCGAATACGGTCCATTTTAGAGAAATTTTGTATTGGATAAAAATTATAGCAAATTATATTAGAAACATTTTTTGTTTCAACAATTTTTATAAAAAAATATTTTTTTTTTCATTTTGTCAAATTTCTCGAATACGGACCAGTTTAGGAAAATTTGGTAAAAAACAAAAATTATAGGTAATAATATGATAAGTAACTTTTATTGAAGAATTTTTTTCTCCAAACGTAAATAACATATATTCCATAAAATATAAAAATGTCCACCTATAAAGTACCCCCAGATGTTCCGAGTCTGCCCAAAATCTAATCAGTTTATTGGAGGCCGAAATAAAACTTAAGTTTAAAATTTACTGTTTTTTCCTTTTTCCGTTTTTGAGTTTTCAGCAAAATTCGTAATTTACACATTTTCTCAAATTTCTCGAATACAGACCATTTTAGAAAAATTTAGTGAAGAACAAAAATTATAGATAATAATATTTTAAGTAACTTTTATTTGAAGAATTTTTTTCTTTAAACACAAATAAAAAATAACCACTTATAAAGCACCTCCCCCCCCCCCCCCCCAGATATTCCGACTCTACCCAAAATCTAATCAGTTGATTGGAGGCCGGAATAAAGCTTAAGTTTAAAATTTGGTGTTTTTCTTTGTATCCGTTCATGAGTTATGGTGGATACAGACACACACACACACACACACAGACTTCATCGCGACAATAGTCAAAACTGATTCAGGGGACCCCAAAACGTAAAAATCCGTCGAAAACTGGAAGTCGAAATAAATCATGATTCCTATACTTTCCTTATCTGTATACAGGTAGGAAAGTAAAAACTGGTATGAGTTATGTCATCGGTTTGCAGCATTTTTTGTCTATGATATAAATAAAAACGTAATTTTACAAAAAAAATCATGTTCTGGACCTTCAAAAAAGTTGAAAATCTGATATAATGTTGAAAATAATATATTGCTTCAAGTTTGCAGCACTTTTGCAATTTTTTTCTCAACATTATAAACAAAAGCGCTATTTTGCTAAAAATTAACTAGTTCCAGATCTTGAAAATGGTTGCAAATGTAAACTTAGTGTTATTTAAATTAGCCGATTATTATTACAAAGTTTGAAAACTTTTGTAATTAATGTGAAATGTTCAAAATAGGATGTCTTCATTGACTGGCCTACAATTTCAGTTTACTACTCATGCTCGTAAAAAGAAGCTCTATTAGATTGATAAAAAGTAAGAGCTATGTTTTACTAGAGATATTGCATAAAACACTGGTAGAGAATGCGCTGAATTGTTTAAAGGAAAAATAATAATATGTTAAACATAATAAGAATAAGCTACTTACTACAAAATGTATTTTATTTCCAGTCAACTTTTTGATATCAAATAGTACAGCCGGAGTTAAATGAAGGTGAAGAACATTCTATTATAGCCAACAGACTATTTTAGATAATTAAAATTTAAATTTGTTATTAAAACATATCAGTGCCAAAATATTAAAAATAAATATGTATCACACTTGAAAATAAGAAGCCAAAAAAAACGTTGCTGATAATTATTTTTATAATTAATTATTCACTTTCTTCAACCTTAACCTTTGGTTAATCCACAAATTAAGTAAATTTTTACCGTATGGTATGATTATTTTTTACATTACATATTTTAAAAAGTTTGATCATATTTTACCATAATCACCAAATTAGCAAAATGTGTGAAATTGGAGAAAAATCAAACGATAGAAATAATATGGAAATAGATCAAGAAGGTCAGAACTTAAATTGCATGCAAAATTATTTAATTTTGTTTCACAGATATTTGTAATTATCCTAAAATTATAGGTCAATAAATTTTTATTTCTTACCTCTAATAAATCACTTTGATAAGAATCGATTTTTATTATTATTAACATTTAAATTTCTTTTAACCAAAAATATTCCTACAACTTCGTTTCACAATTCTAAATAAATTTAATTATGAGTTTAAAAAATGGCTATAGCAGGGTAAAATTAGAGGGTAATATGACACAGTACATTTATTCCAATGAGGTTGCATAATATTGACATGATATGCCATTAAAAAGCGACACAACGATTCGTAGACTACTACGGTGGCCTCTTTCGGTTACTAGGAACGGTGTGACATCACAGAATGAAAAATCGAGGTATTTTGCTGCGATTCGTATATTATTATTTTTTTTATCTAATATTGTATCATTATTTGGATTATTTTGCAGTAGTAGAGTTTTTATATCAGTAGTTTGATTTTTTGAAAGATAAGTTACGAAACATGGAAAATTAGGGAATGATTTCCATAAATCCCAAATTGCGCTGTGGAGTATGCTTCTAAAAAACCACATCAAACATTTTATCTATAAAATGGACAGATTAAGAAGAATGGAAAATTCGTTTTTAGATATATGAAAAGAGTATCCAGTAACAACTTTTTGTCAAGATATAGAAGATACTAATATGAAGAAGAGAAAACTTTCACCCGAACCTATTAGGGACAGAAGGGATCATTTAATGTTTAAAGTAAATTTTGTAGGGCTAAAACTTTAAATCTTAAAAAGTTTGTAACTTTCCTAATAATAAAAATTAAAATTTTTTTTTTCTATTTTATAATTATTCACAGTTGCACCAAAAATATAAAAATTTATCTAATCTAAAATTAGTTGTCGCTACTAGACTAATTCAGTAATTTATAATTAAGCTATTATTTATTGCAATTATTAAGATTTTATTTTGTATTAGACAGAGCTGTCGCATCGTGTGCCGCATTATAAAGAGCGAAATGGCTGCTACATTAAGTGGGGATGATTTGTGTTAGCTTGTTTATCTGAGGAGCGAGGAATGAATTAGGTCGTACCACTATGTTCCTGCTAAACATCGTAAAACACTGTAAATAAATGATGTACTTTTCTGTAAATTACCTTCAGGTAGTTGCAACCAAACAAATAATAACTGGCACTAAGAATGCAATACTTCCTCAATGTAATTTTAAAGCCTTTTGTAAGTTTTAGGGTTATGTTACCATTTTTGAATTCTAATAATTTGACAACCATGTGGATAACACCGTGAATGCTTGATACAATTCGGTTTTTGTAAACAAAGTTAGTCTAGTAGTTGGTGTGACCTATGAATATATTTTTTTTCTTTACCCGCATAGATATTAGCTTATCTTCGCATATACTGCAAACTGAAAAAGGTATGTAATTGCGTTCAACTGAACGAATATATTTCATATCCATTCGAGGTAGTGAGAACACTGCAAAAAAATGAAATCCACCAATCACAGTTCATATTTTGGATACCCAACTACTATGGTTTTTAAAATTTTAAATAAGTGACAATTCTTTTGAACTAATTGTCAGTATATTTTTTGGTTATTAAGAAAAATGTACACATAAAGGAGTTATTTTTGTATTGAATCGATATATAATAACATTTTTATTCGGTCCACATTTTGAAAAAATATTTAAATTTTAATCAAACTATTTGAAACTAATTTAATTACAAGTATTAAAAAAAGTTGTGGTAAAAGTGAGAATAGAGTGTCTACCTTCCACGCGAAAAGCCCGGGTTCGAATCTTAGCTGGAAACTAATTAAATTATCTTTTTATCTTAAATTAAATTATCTTTTTTATTCACGTTAATTTTATTTTATAAATTAGTAAAATTTAAAAATTATTTTAAAATTCGTTATTTTGTCTAAATAACCTCTAAAGTATTTTTTTAATTTGTTGATTTTCGTAAGTGGGTCGTAGAAAAAATTATACTGTTCAACCCGAGTGGATTCTTCTATTTTTGTTGCATAAACTACTGTTTTTTTAAACATAAATATCTTCTGTCTTGTTATAAAAATACTCAAACTTAAAAATATGTTATAAAGTTCTTAAAGGCTTCTAGTAAAAAATATTAGCTCCTTAATCAACAACCTCCATAATCTTTTTTTGTATATCATTTACAGTGTGTCCCCAATATGTGAAACGACTCTTGAACAAGGTACAAAAATCTTGATTTAAATTTTCATTTTTTGGGGTTTAGCTCTACTTGGTTAAAGACTAATTTTCCACATAATTTAAGCTTTGAGTTATTAAGGATGCCTTGAACATTTTCAAAAATCCTATTTTTCTCCAGAGTAAAGTGTTTTTTATATTGCAGATATGACCAAAAGTTATTAAGAAAATTTGATTCGAATCACCATCCAGATCTATACACCATATTTGAAAATCCTCTACCAACTATGATTTTTCATTTATTTTGTCAACATGAAAGATCAAAGTTGGCAGAGCGTTTTGAAATTTGTGATACGGACTTATGTTTTGATTTCAAGCAACTTTTCTAAATAATTGTTTGACGTATTTCTTACTGAAAAGCCGCCATATTTTTCAAGAGTCGTTTCACTTATCCGTTATCCGGGGAGACACTGTATATCAACTAGATCATATTTCGACGGGTTTACCTCATTGTTCGAAGCATTGTTTAGACGTTGTAAAGTTCATTTTAAATAATTATTTATTTGCGAATCCATAGTGATTGATTCGTTTAAAATGTTAAGCTCTATATTTTATTTAAAAACAGTAACTTTTAAATAAAAGTTTTGTGTCCCTTTTAAATATTAGCGAGCTATTTGTTATCTTTGTTATTATTATGTTCAATAATTTTTATTAATATATTTTTTGCAGGCCCCTCTTTAAATTTTTATTTTACCTGCCTGTTTGAGATAGGAAAAACAATAAAAATAGCCGAAATATCATCGAGTTGATGAAACTGTAATACAGAGTATACGGGAATACTTTAGAAAGTGTAAAATGATCCTAAATCCCAAACTTATGCCTAGTGTATTGTGGCTACTGTTTTTTTTTTTTTAATAACAAAAATTTTCAAGTGCACTGAACTTTATTTATTTTTTCTTTATTATAATACATATAAACATTTCTTGCCATAGATTTAACACAGTTTAACACATCTTCTCCATACACTAAAATATCTTTTATATGTGGCTTCTTTCCTTTATCTCTTATATGAAAAATGTACATAAACTTTATATGATTGAAGCTGAATTTTAAAAAATCTATAACAGAACCGTACGTTAAACCGTTGAATTCGTATATAGACCCTACGTGAACTTTCAATTTTTTTAAACTCCTTTTTCCGGAATTCGCAACTACTTTTAAATCTTCTTTATCGGGAATGCAACGATTACAAAATCCAAACGGATAAACAATATGGTTTCCCTCTTCTTGCAAAGAAATAAACAATTGAATTGCCAACTTACTACATGTTGCGGCTCTAAAAATAGCTTTGGTAGTAGGCGAAGAAAATTTTACATTTCTTTTCCATACCTCCATGGCTTTTAAAAATTCTTTCGTACTAATTCCTTCGACGGGAGTAGTTCCTAGTAATATTGGAAAATTATTACTTAAATTTATTGGGATATCGTTGGTATTGAATTTTTCTCCTCTGACGCATTTGTGATAAGCATCTGGATTTGAACAAGGTAGGATGTAATAATCGGTGAGTTTTACCAAGTTTGAATCTCTAGTAAGAAAATCTACTAGATACAAAGCAGAAGAAATTGCTAACCAATCGCAGGCATTCGAACCTGCTTCCACTAAAGTTAACATTTTTCTGTTATCCCCTGAACCATCAGAAATGGCAGCCAGATAGATTGGCCTTCCTTCAATTGAGTCGCCCAGTATTTCTAAACGAAATTTTCCGGGATAGTTTTTTTCCATTTTCTTCAAATACTCTTCAATCTCATCGTAATTCACGAATTTATATTTAAAACTTTCGTACGCAGTTATGGGAAATCTAAGTTTTGTAACATTGCTTGGGCAAGCTGCATAATTGAGTGTCTTGGTTGTAATATCTGCGTTTGCAAGTGAAATGTGTGGTTTTACTTTTCGTTTTGGTAAAGGCTCTGGTTTTGGTATACGTTTAATATTGGTTGTATTTCTTTTTTTGATAGTTCTGTAGTTTCTTTTTCTACAAGTTTTTTTTCGTGCCATATTGACATACAAGTCACTTTTGAAATTTTGATGACACGCGGATGACGCTAGAGCTAATGTTAAACTTAATTTATATTTGAAAATACATTGGAGAGTTGAATTTATATGTTTTACCAATGAAATTAATTATTTATATCAAATTCTTACAGGAACAGAGAAAAATATGTATAATTTCCAATTCATCATTAGAAAAACATTGAAGTGGAATTCAGTAGGTTAGTGATAGATTTAGCATTATAACTTAGAACATAGAAAAACTGAAGATACTCTGATTAAAAATAACACGATTTAATGAAACAAGCTTGAGTAAAATGTTACACTTTCCGAATTGTGGGTTAAAGTTTAAAAATTCATAAATTATTAATAGCTATATTTTTTAATTACTTAGTATAATTTTATGAAATTCGGCAAAAGTTTTTGGTTTCATTAGATATACCTATCAGCAAAAAATCAGCTAAATAAACTTTGCCAATGGCGTCCGGCATGGGTAAGTAACGCCTTTATCCCTTCTAAATTTTACGCTACTGTTCAAAATCTTATTGGGACATAATTGATTTTTTTATGTTTTTTTAAATTAATAATGTACTCTTTCTGGGAATTTATAAAAAAATCCAAAATAATAAATTATGCATTCCAAACAAATGAATTTACGTGGGAAGGTTTAGTATATCTAATATTATCTAAGGGTTGCGACATGCGATATATTCTATCTACTATACGTAAAACCATTAATAATGGATAATATTTAAATATTTTATGTCAAACACAACAAAAATAATATTTAAAAACCCGCTTATACACTTCTTCATAAATTGGCAAGCTTGGCGACTACTATTTCGAATAAAAATAGCGTCCAAGATGCAAGACTATTTCGCTACCTCCCATATACAATAACTTCCTACTGGCATCTACTGTTTAAAAGGTCGTTGGTATGCCTAATAATAAATCAAAATAAAGAATATCCACCTTTGAGAGTGAAAAACTAATTCCTTTATGAACTAATTCCTAAACGCGTAATTTGCGTTTAAGTTTTGTGGTCGTAGAAAAAGCATAGTGTGTTACTCGTATAGTAAACCTTTTCCATATTCATGTGAATGTATCACACAACGTGTGAAATACTTAAGTTACTCTTTCACTTGTTGCATAATATTATCCTATTTTATTTGGAACAATGAAAGAATAATTTTTCGTTCAGCTTTTTTATAAACTGTTGTCACTTATAAATTTGAGGTATTTTTTAGATATTTTTTAGATATTTTTTAGATATTTTTTAGATATTTTTTAGATATTTTTTAGATATTTTTTAGATATTTTTTAGATATTTTTTAGATATTTTTTAGATATTTTTTAGATATTTTTTAGATATTTTTTAGATATTTTTTAGATATTTTTTAGATATTTTTTAGATATTTTTTAGATATTTTTTAGATATTTTTTAGATATTTTTTAGATATTTTTTAGATATTTTTTAGATATTTTTTAGATATTTTTTAGATATTTTTTAGATATTTTTTAGATATTTTTTAGATATTTTTTATATATTTTTTAGATATTTTTTAGATATTTTTTAGATATTTTTTAGATATTTTTTAGATATTTTTTAGATATTTTTTAGATATTTTTTAGATATTTTTTAGATATTTTTTAGATATTTTTTAGATATTTTTTAGATATTTTTTAGATATTTTTTAGATATTTTTTAGATATTTTTTAGATATTTTTTAGATATTTTTTAGATATTTTTTAGATATTTTTTAGATATTTTTTAGATATTTTTTAGATATTTTTTAGATATTTTTTAGATATTTTTTAGATATTTTTTAGATATTTTTTAGATATTTTTTAGATATTTTTTAGATATTTTTTAGATATTTTTTAGATATTTTTTAGATATTTTTTAGATATTTTTTAGATATTTTTTAGATATTTTTTAGATATTTTTTAGATATTTTTTAGATATTTTTTAGATATTTTTTAGATATTTTTTAGATATTTTTTAGATATTTTTTAGATATTTTTTAGATATTTTCAGATATTTTCAGATATTTTGAGATATTTTCAGATATTTTCAGATATTTTCAGATATTTTCAGATATTTTCAGATATTTTCAGATATTTTCAGATATTTTCAGATATTTTCAGATATTTTCAGATATTTTCAGATATTTTCAGATATTTTCAGATATTTTCAGATATTTTCAGATATTTTCAGATATTTTCAGATATTTTCAGATATTTTCAGATATTTTCAGATATTTTCAGATATTTTCAGATATTTTCAGATATTTTCAGATATTTTCAGATATTTTCAGATATTTTCAGATATTTTCAGATATTTTCAGATATTTTCAGATATTTTCAGATATTTTCAGATATTTTCAGATATTTTCAGATATTTTCAGATATTTTCAGATATTTTCAGATATTTTCAGATATTTTCAGATATTTTCAGATATTTTCAGATATTTTCAGATATTTTCAGATATTTTCAGATATTTTCAGATATTTTCAGATATTTTCAGATATTTTCAGATATTTTCAGATATTTTCAGATATTTTCAGATATTTTCAGATATTTTCAGATATTTTCAGATATTTTCAGATATTTTCAGATATTTTCAGATATTTTCAGATATTTTCAGATATTTTCAGATATTTTCAGATATTTTCAGATATTTTCAGATATTTTCAGATATTTTCAGATATTTTCAGATATTTTCAGATATTTTCAGATATTTTCAGATATTTTCAGATATTTTCAGATATTTTCAGATATTTTCAGATATTTTCAGATATTTTCAGATATTTTCAGATATTTTCAGATATTTTCAGATATTTTCAGATATTTTCAGATATTTTCAGATATTTTCAGATATTTTCAGATATTTTCAGATATTTTCAGATATTTTCAGATATTTTCAGATATTTTCAGATATTTTCAGATATTTTCAGATATTTTCAAATATTTTCAGATATTTTCAGATATTTTCAGATATTTTCAGATATTTTCAGATATTTTCAGATATTTTCAGATATTTTCAGATATTTTCAGATATTTTCAGATATTTTCAGATATTTTCAGATATTTTCAGATATTTTCAGATATTTTCAGATATTTTCAGATATTTTCAGATATTTTCAGATATTTTCAGATATTTTCAGATATTTTCAGATATTTTCAGATATTTTCAGATATTTTCAGATATTTTCAGATATTTTCAGATATTTTCAGATATTTTCAGATATTTTCAGATATTTTCAGATATTTTCAGATATTTTCAGATATTTTCAGATATTTTCAGATATTTTCAGATATTTTCAGATATTTTCAGATATTTTCAGATATTTTCAGATATTTTCAGATATTTTCAGATATTTTCAGATATTTTCAGATGATATTTGGTGTTTTGAGTTATCTTTGATACAGACACATAGCCAGACATCATCGCGAAAATGGTTGAAACGGATTCAGAGGACCCCAAAACGTTAAGAACTGTTGAAAACTCGAAGTCGAAAAATAATGATTCCCGTACTTTCCTTACTGGTTACACGAAAGTAAAAATATACAGTAATCTTTAAAACATATACTAAAATTTTCATGTCAAAATATGTAGGTTGATTTTTTTATATAGGTAACTGTAATAATTTATCCAATTTGTTTCAATTAAAAGTCTATATTTATCTGCCTACACTATTAATTAAATTTTTATTATTGGAGTCCTCTTTTTGGTACTTACCTATATCTAATAATATATATTTGACCTCTCACCTAATCATTTGTTCATTAAAAACATCCATCTACTAAATTTTGGTTCACCTTCCTTTCCTTTGACATTGAAATTATAAAAAAACATGACGATGGATCTGCCGTGATTTTAACGCAGTAATTGTTATTTATGTATTTGGTATTTAAATGTTAATTTTTGAGTGTGTGATTTGGTTTTGTGCATACATAATTTGTAAGAGAAATATGCCTATGGAACAAACCTATTAAATATTAGATCATAAAAAATTATAAATATATACAAAATAATAATATTCATTAATAGCCAATACTAATGTTTACAACCAACCAAAGCGACGGTTTAAATAATGGTCTGGTTTTATTTATATACGAGGAAAATAGTGATGTATGACGAAAACTATTATTTAATTTGAAATTTAATATTTTTCCTAAGGGACAGTCTACTTATTCTTATTTGAAATCTAAATAACACCCTCTATCTTGTTATATATCAAATTATCTTTGTGATACTAAGAGTAGTGGACAGAGAGAACACTATACAGGGTGGCCATTTGAAAACAAAATTTTAGGCACCCCAGATCATTTACGAAAAAATGCTCAGAACTGTCAACTTCTGATTTTAGGAGGAAACATTTTTTGCCAGTTTCACCTCGTGAACGGAAATCCTCTAGCGAGGGTAAAACTCACCCTTAAAATTTTTAATGGATAGCGGGGTCAAATGATATCGTATTTTAAAGGTATTTTTACCTAGCTTATAACCCCCGAGTTTTACATTGGTATCTACGTAGCCCATACAGTGGCTCACCAAAAGTACAAAACCGGTTTAACATAATTTTTACATTGTTATTAAAAAAAAAAGATTTTTTTGTTACAATTCTAGTTTTATTTCGGTGGCCTTAAATTATTGTTATCACATGACATTCTTTGGTCGCCGTAAAGTAGTAAGATTTGATTTATTTCGTTCTAGAGCATAAAAGTAGCATATCAGTGATAATGGTTTACTCAATTGTTGAGAGGGTGCAAATAATTTCCATTTTTTTGCGAATAATAAATGTGCTAATAGAACTGTCCAACCGTTTAACAATCAACATCAAAATCGACAAGTCCATCGAAAGTATATTTTGGATTTAGTCCAAAAATTTAGGGAAACGGGGAATTCAGAAGTTATTGAAAAAACACAAGTTTTATCCCTACATCTGGTACAAGAACTTAACGGAGACGATTTTTATAGGCGATTACAATTTTATGAAATTATTACTGAACGGCAATAAATGATCAGC